TCAGGGATTTTTTTAGTTCAAGGACTAAATCGGGGGTCCGTACAATAGTTCGGGGACCAAAAAGGGATTTTAACCTAAGTTGAAATGCCAAAATCACATATTATATATATATATATATGACAAGTGACAACCACCAGAGCGAAAGCGCACCGGTGCCTTCTGATTACAAGGCGAGACAAACATAGGAGACAAAAGCTTCCACACCTATGGGCATTCTCCTGTTGTAGTTTATTAGTGATTATTGTTTTTGAGCTGTCGATAAATTATACATTGATCAATAATTAAATTTTATCATGAATAAAATATTAACTTAATTTTTAATTTTTAATTTTTAATTTTTAATCATTACTCCTATTAGAAAAAAAAAAACTATCTATCAAAATTTTTTTTTAAAATTAAAAAAAAAAAGAAAGAAACCAGCTGTCCACAGTGGAATAAACGTGAGAAAAGGCAATTTCAGAATACTTTAATCTAACTCTCTCTCTTTCTTTTTTTTTAACTACAACTTGTTCTGTACTAAATTCTAAACAATGATGGTAGTTATAATTATGTAATGTATTTTTATTTCTTTTGTCGGAAGAAAAAAGGTTCGACATTGTTTGGGCAGCTTCACAATCCAACGCTGTTGAAGTCTTTAACTGCTTCTACACCTGAAAACCCCGAGGATGTTTCCTCGGGGAAAACACTCCAACGCTCAAGTCAGCAATACTCAATATTCTAGAGAGAAGTGCTCTCAAAGAGTAATTGCAGAGAGAGAAGCGTAGAGATTCATTACCTTCATTGTTGGTGGTTGGGGGGTATTTATAGCCCCAAATACTGACATGCATTCCCACATGTAAGTAACTCATTGGGCCACGTGGTGCTGCTCACGTGGGCGTGTCTCCTCTTCCTGGGCCTGTGTGTGCATAGTTGGGCCTGTTATATGTGGCCTGAATTTGGCGTTGGGCCTAATCCCAACATTACTCCCCCCTCAGCGTTCGGTTGACGAACTGGATGGGAGTCTTGTTAGCATGGTGCTTGGCCCTAAGGATGAGGAGGGATATTTTGCGTTCATGAACGACCTCACGTATGAACGGCCTGTTTGGCTTGAAAGCATGGCGCCTGACCAGATGTGCCAAGGTATGCCGGGCCTATTCCGAGCAGGCGCGAGGAGTTGGTTTTACGACTGGTCGAGCTCGATGCTAGTCGAAGGGCCGGGCAGATGCGCAAGAGTGACCTTGCCTGAGGACTTTCCTGCGGCGGAGCTGCGATGAGCAGATAGTGAACGAGCTGGACGCACTGACCCTAGACGGGCAGAAAATCGCGGCCACACTCGTCCCCCGATACATGCCTCTGGGATACAGAGCAGCTCTGAGGGAGTTGATTATAATCTAACGCTCAATGCCCAAATCTGAGGTGGATCTCTGATCCGTGCAACCTGATTTCCAGAGGTTTTTCGAGTTTAGCAACGAGTTGATTTTTCGGCATTTTTAAGTTTTGAATTTTGACGGATCAGTGAGGAGATCGCGAATTTGTAGCGAGCTGATCCCTTAGATTTTTCAAGATTTTAACTCTAGCGAATCTTCGAGGAGATTTGCCTAGGTTCCGATTTTGTTACGAGCTGATCATTGCAGTTTGTCGCGATCTGAACCTTTGGATTTTTCAACAACTGTGTCGAATCTCAGAGGAGATTTGCTCAGGGCGTTTGATATTCTTCTGATTTTAGTAGACGCCTTTTTGCCTCCCCACAATAAATGCTGGCTCAGCATTTGAGGAGGCATGACAGCTGCAACGGCGCGTTTTGAGTTTTTGCCCATAAATGGCTGCCACGTGAACGTGTTTAACTGAGGGGTCGTAACACGCGTACGAAAATTACAGGGCGTTATCTGAAGGAGAAAAACAAAAGGACATTTCTGTTTCATTGCTCAGTACGTTAACATTCTCCTCAGCAACAGTTGCAGAAACGCTCCAGAGTATTCCTCACAATTTTCAGCAAAAGGACATTCGACTTCCATTATTCAGGTAAAAATGACTTCTTC